GCCGGCGTTTGACTGCAGACAGTTTTTCCGGGTCATGTGGCCAGCATGACTAAGCCACTTCTGGTGAACCAGAGCAGTGCACGGAAACGCCGTATACCTTCCCGCCGAAGTGGTACCTATTTATCAACTTGCACTTTGACGTGCTTTTGTTTTGTTTTTTTTAAAGCAATTTATTGGGTTTTACAATAAGAATAAACATAATAAACAATATAACATTTGTCTTAACATAGTTTCACATTTTCTTTGGACTTCCTCACATCCCCCGCTCCCACTTTCATCGTTATAACATTTTGTCAGCAATTTATCATCTTATTTAAATTCTTATATCTCTTCAATGTTTCATAATCTTATAGTTCTCATAAAGAGTTAAACTTTCACAGTCTTACTTATTTTCTTAAAAACTTCTAAGTTAAGTGGTGCTCAGTTATTTAGTCTAGCATCTTATTTAGCATTCACTCAAATCACAATATTTTTGTAGATAGTTCTTAAATTTCTTCCAATCCTCCTCGATTCTCTCTTCTCCCAGGTCACGGATTCTGCCGGTCATTTCAGCCAGTTCCATGTAGTCTATCAGTTGCATCTGCCATTCTTCCAGTGTGGGTAAATCTTGAGTTTTCCAATGTTTTGCAAGAAGTATCCTTGCTGCTGTTGTTGCATACATAAAAAATGTCTGGTCCTTCTTTGCCACCCCTTGGCTGACAATACCCAGAAGGAAAGCCTCTGGTTTCTTGGTAAAGGTATATTTAAATACCTTTTTCAATTCATTATAAATCATTTCCCAGAACGCCTTCACTTTAGGGCAGGTCCACCAGAGGTGGAAGAACGTTCCCTCACACTCTTTACATTTCCAACACTTATTATCAGACAGGTGGTAAATTTTTGCAAGTTTAACTGGGGTCATATACCATCTATAAATCATTTTCATTACATTTTCTTTCAGAGCGTTACATGCAGTAAATTTCAATCCATTACTCCACAACTTTTCCCAGTCCTCAAACATAATATTATACCCAATGTCCTGTGCCCACCTTATCATAGCCGATTTAACCATTTCATCTTGTGTATTCCATTCCAACAGCAAGTTATACATCCTTGAAAGTACCTTAGTCTTTGGTTCTAACAATTCTGTTTCTAATTTCGATTTCTCCACCTGGAACCCTAGTTTCTTATCATTTTTAAAAACTTCTTTAATCTGAGCGTAATGTAACCAATCTCGCACTTTGTCTTTCATTTTCTCCAAACTCTGCAATTTCCAATTGTCTCCATCTTTTCTAGTATTTCCCAATATTTTGGCCATTTAGCCTCCATATTGGGTCTTTTTCGGGCCTTAGCTTCCAAAGGTGAAAGCCACCTTGGTGTTTTATTTTCCAGCAAGTCTTTATATTTTGTCCAGACATTAAACAATGATTTTCTGACAATATGGTTCTTGAAGGCCTTATTTGCTTTAACTTTGTCATACCATAAATATGCATGCCATCCAAAAACATTATTAAACCCTTCCAAATCCAACACATCAGTGTCTTCAAGAAGTAGCCAGTCTTTTAGCCAGCAGAACGCTGCGGCTTCATAATACAACTTTAAGTCCGGCAGGGCAAAGCCCCCTCTTTGTTTTGCATCAGTTAATATCTTAAACTTGATTCTGGGCTTTTTGCCCTGCCAGACAAACTTCGAAATATCTCTCTGCCACTTCTGAAAGCACTCCGTTTTGTCCAAAACCTGAAGTGTTTGAAATAAAAACAACATCCTTGGCAATACATTCATCTTAATAGCAGCAATTCGGCCTAACAAAGAAAGTTTCAATTTTGACCAACTGTCTAAGTCTCTCTTAATTTCTGTCCAACATTTTTCATAGTTATCCTTAAATAGACTTAGATTTTTGCTGTTATGTTTACCCCTAGGTATTTTACTTTTTAACCACATTAAGTTCCGTCTCATTCTGAAACCGTTCTGACTCTGTATCAGTCAAATTTTTCCCCAAAACCTTAGTTTTCTGTTTATTTAATTTAAATCCCGCCACCCGACCAAAATCATTAATCAATTGTAATACTCTTTTCGTACTGGGCTCTGGCTTCTGCAGGGTCAAAACCAGGTCATCTGCAAAAGCTTTTAGTTTATATTGTTTCTGACCAACCTGAATTCCTTCCACCAACCGATCCCCTCTAATCATGTTCAGTAGCACTTCCAGAACCGAAATAAATAACAAAGGGGAGATAGGGCAACCTTGTCGTGTCCCTTTTTCAATTTTGAACTCTTCTGTGACCACATTATTAACTATCAGTTTAGCTTTCTGTTCTGAATATATCGCCTCAATCCCATTCTCAAAACCCCGTCCCACTCCCATCTCTTTTAAATTTCCCATCATAAATTTCCAGGAAATATTGTCAAAGGCCTTCTCCGCATCTATGAAAATTAAAACTGCTTTTGTATTTATATCTGTTTGCAGAAGTTCCAAGATGTCAATAATGTTCCTTGTGTTAGCAAACAGATGTCTACCTGGGAGAAAACCGGCCTGGTCCTTATGAATTACTTCATTTAATACTTTTTAAATCTACTTGCCAAAATATCTGCAAATATTTTGTAATCCACATTTAAAAGAGAGATGGGACGGTAGTTCTTCAGTTGTGTCTTTTCAGCTTCTGACTTTGGTATTAATGTGATGAACGCTTCCTTCCACGAATCCGGTGCCCTCTTCCCCTCCATAATTTCATTGCAGACCTCCATCAAGGGTTGTATCAAATAGTCTTTTAATGTCTTATAATACTTGGAGGTCAGCCCATCTGGCCCTGGAGATTTGCCAAGTTGCATGTTCTGAATAGCTTGTTCAATCTCCTGTCGTGTTATTTTAGAGTTCAGGATTGTCCTGTTTTCTTGTGACAATTTAGATAATCCATTTTTGGCAAAAAATGTTTAATCTCAACTTCGTCTTGCGGCCCTTGGGTGTATAATTTTTTAAAATATCTCTGGAAACACTTTCTAATATCCACTGGATTCTGAATGTTTTTTTCCATCAACCTCTAAGTTTGTAACCGTGTTTAATCTTTGTCTTCTCTTCAACTGCCAAGCTAGCAGTTTTCCACATTTATTCGCCGACTCAAACGTTTTTGTTTCATTAATTTAACCTTCCATTCAATTTCCTGATTTATCAATTTAGAATATTGTGTTTGATAGAGTTTAATTTCTCTCAGAGTTGGCTGTGACTTTGGATTCGCTCTTAATTTCTTCTCTAATTCTTTTAATTTGTCCACGATCTTATCTTTTTCTCATTTTGTGTTCTTTTCTTTACTACATTCTGTTGTATCAAGAATCCCCTCATTACAGCTTTGCTTGCGTCCCAGACAATTCTTTTTCCACCGAATTGTTCATGTTTATCTCAAAATAGTCCTTCAAAACTTTTTGGGCCTTCTTGGTAATTTCCTGATCTCTAAACAAATTGTCATTCATCTTCCATCTAAAGGATCCAGTTGGTAGTAGTGTCATATCCATCTTTACTGCATTATGGTCAGAGCAGGTCTTTGGGCAGATTTCCACTTTTCTGACCTTAGGTGCCAGGCCTCTGGAAATCCATATTTGGTCGATTCTTGTCCAGGTCAGTTGGGCTTCAGAAAAGAATGTTCCTTCTCTACCTAGTGGGTTCTTTGTCCTCCAAATGTCAATCAAATCCATATTGTCAGTCATTTCAAAAAAGTTTTAGGTAGTCTGCCGTCTTTTGTAACATTTTGACTTTGTGACTTGTCCATGTTAGTTGACACGACCCCGTTCATGTCTCCCATCATTATGATGTTGTTGTAATCCAGATATTCCAGCATTGTCCCCTGCAGCTTCTTGTAAAATTCCGATTTCCCTTCATTAGGTGCATAGATTCCTAATATCAACAGTTTCTCTCCTTGATATTGTATCTCAATGGCCAAAATTCTTCCATGTTCATCTTTAAATAAGAATTTAGGTGACAGGCTCTCTTTTGCATATATCACCACGCCTCTCTTCTTAACTTTGTCCGACGAAACAAATTCCTGGCCCAAT